GAGCACAGCCATTTCTCTCTTGGATGAGAAAGTGACCAGCTGGTCTCCCTCTCCCCTTGACTTTTCATACAACGGCCGGCGGGGTCCTTCTGAAACACAAATCTGATCATGTTTGCCTCTCCAAGTTCCCCATCAACCTTAGAATAAAGACCTGGACACCAGACTCTGTGCTTTTAAACAATCAGGCTTCTGCCATCAAGGCCAATGTTTCTCAATGCGTGGCCCTCGGACACCTGAAGCATCACAATTCAGGATGCCTGTTGGAAAGGCGGTTTCTCAGGCCCTCTCCAGACCTACTGAATCAGACCCCTGGTGGGGACAGAGGCCCAGCGCTCAGCCTTTTAAAATAATCCCTTGGGAAAAACTTAAGACCAAATCTGAAAAACACTGCTAGAGATTTAGGAAAATTAAAACCAACATCAGTTCCACCTGTCTCATCTGGAACAAATCCAGAAGACTCCAAGCTTCTCTGTGCTCATTTTTCACAACAGCAGCTCCTTGAGGTGATTGTGAGGAGCAAAGTTAAAACACTTTCTAAGCTTTAAATACTGTATGAGAGGTCATTATCAGCAGCATTTCCCAGTTAACAGGCATATTGCACTGGGTAGCAATTCAACACTTTTCTGTCCTGAGACTGAAGCCACCAGAAACACCAATGCATAGATTATTTTTAAGTCGTAATAATTTATATGTGAAATATATACCCATAATTATAAAGCATTACCAAAAAGTACTTAGCAACGACAGTAACACGCACCTCTACTACAGCTTTTTTTATTATCATATGTGACAACTGATGGGTCGGGATAAGGAAAGCTAAATGTCCAGCAACGCATGACTGTACACGTCTATTCAGAAGCAAAGCCCCTTCCAGGAACAGAAACTAACTTCACAGCCATGGCCCTGGAAACAGTATAGCGGAGGACAGGGGTAACAACGTATTTTTTAATCCCTCACATGTCTGTGATCTTATGGAAGAAGTTAAGCTCTAGAACAGTTGCTCTGAACTCTTCTAAGGTACTCCTTTGGGAAATCTAATGAAAGCCATGAGTATTTCCCCATAAAATTACCTGTAAATGCAAAATTTTACCCTGGAGTCTATTTATTCTTTTGCATATAATAGGGGATAACGATAATTACCTCTCAGGGTATTGGGGGATGCTATTATCAGAAATAGAATATTTAAAAGCACTTTGTGAACCATAAAGGTCGTTACTATTACTACTTTTTTTTTTTTCAGAGTGACTCTTAGTCCCGACTCTACAGAATAATTTGGCAGAAATATTTAAGAGGACTTTCTTTCACTTACTGAATTGGGTGGTTTTGCCCCAATGAGAGTAATAATCACAAGAAATACTTCCAAATAGGGTAGAGAGTTCTACGTTAATATCATTAATGAATAGGAGTTCCATCAGAATAGAATAGGAAAATTTCTCCAAGCTGTTTTCTAAATATACTGTTTTCAGTATATTATAATCCATTTTTCACCTAGTAACCATAAAATTAGAGCTCTGCTCTAGAAGCTGAGAGCAGAGGTTTGTGAAAAGCTTTATAGACTATTTTAAAATACACATACATGCACACCTACATATAAAACTGTATTCACATTCACTCATGCAGTGAAGTGGAGATGATAGAACTGGGCATAAAAAATAGCAGCAGAGGATGCAATAGCACTAATGATGGAGTTAACAGGACTGTGGCCCCACTCTCTTCTGCAATCCTTTCCTACCAGTGAGGGACAGACTCTAGGAAAGAGGCTTTGTGCCCCTGCTACTTGCTTCAAGGCTACCATTTAGATACAAAGTATAAAGGAGGCTTAGAAAGTTAAGCTCACAGTGTATCAGATTTATTCTTCACTTTATGAATTTCAGCACCAAAGCACAGAACAGGACATTCAGCTCAGCATTCAACTGATGCCCATGCCCAGCACCACCTCAGATGGTACCTGGGCAGACACGTGAACAAATCAAGTCCTCACAGTCACATGGTGGCTTAATACAAACTCATACTGGCTTAGATACACTAAAACACTGAAGTCAAGGGGAAAAAAATTAACCTTGCAGAGAATGGCACTGCACACCGATCACAAACAGGTGTCTGTCCATACATAAGCACGGGGTGAGGCTGAGATGGCTGGGGCCAACCTGAGCTCCCCTGTAGGACCTCCAGTGGGACTGACAGGTGTTGGTGACAAAAGGCTCAGGCTCCCTGAAACCACAAGCACTTCTCAGCTGACCCTATGGTTACTCCTCTTCCTCCTCGGGTGACAGGCAAGGACATGCATGGTGGCGGATCTTTCACATCTCAAGCAGCAAGTGTCTGCTTTCATGAGCTTGGCGCCAGTCAGGGAGCTGCTGCCTGCATTTGTGAGCCCTGCCCCAGAGCAGAAAGGCAGGCACATACTTAACAGAGCAAGAGTCCAAAACACAGGAGATTAAGTTCACTTACATCTTTAAGAAGTTCCCTGCATCCAGCAAGGAGCCCCAAAGAGCAAACAATGTATGTGAAGCTGAGGTCTGAAGCTCCACCTTCATTCAGAAAAGACTTCAAAGGAAGCCAAGAAAGCATCTGAATGGGGGGGG